GGGTTAGGGTTAGGGTTAGGAGAGTTAGGAATAAGATTAGGAAGTGGGGGGGCGCACGCCGGAGCCACAGGGCAGCAGCCCCCATGGTCACGTCTGGGGACCTGGCTCCTGAGGGCGGAGGGTCTCACCCGCCCCCCACCCCACCAGCCCTGGAGCCTCAGCCGTGCGGGTTCAGCCCCACAGGTGCTCCGAGCGCAGCCCCGCAGACCCCAGGCGCTCCCCACCCCGGGCCCCCACCGGCTCCAAGACCCCCAGCGGCCCAGCACCCTCCAGTCCTGACACTGGGCTGGTTTCCCAGACGGGGAAACTGAGGCTCGGTGGCAGGGGGTGGGGGGTGGGGTCTTCTCAGAGGTCACAGAACCACCGAGTGGCCGGACACCGTTCCCAGGGTGACCTCCGTGGCCAACACGGGCCTCAGGGCCTCGCCCAGGCCCTGCCTCCCCCAGGGGCACGCGGGTCGTGGGGGGGCGCACGGCTGGACGGCTGCCGTTCCACCCTCCCGCCCTTCAGTCCCACGGGCGGCTGGTTCCCCCGCACCAGGCCCAGCTCCGCCCTCCGCCTCCAGGAAGCCCTCCAGTGAGCGACCGGAGTCCCCAGACAGGACAGGAGCACCTGGAGCACCAGACCGGCCCTCCCCACACGCCCACCTCCAGCCACAGGCCCAGGAAGCAGCCCCGAGCTCCTCCCAGTGACGGGGACGGGCCCTGCCCTTGCCCCGCCCTTGGCCCGGCCTCCGTGTGCAGGGCAGGGCGAGCGGGAGGCCGGGTGGAGACCGCTGTCCCCGCAGAGTGCTGTCTCAGCAGACACCGGATCTCCCGGGCTCGCTGCAGGGACCCGGAGGGGAGGGGGCCGGGCAGGCCTGTCCCTCCCCCACTCCGACCCCCGAGGTCACCGTGAGTCCTTGGAGAGACCGGCCCGGCCCGTGCAGACTTCCGTGCGGCAGGAGGGACAGGCCGGTTGCAGGGGGAGAAGTCGGCCCCGCGGGGGGCACGGAAGGGAGCAGGGCGACACCCCCGCCTCCTACACCAGACCCGGACCCCTCGCCCCCCGCGTCAGGGAACCGCGGCGGCCTCTGCTTGGGACACGCCCATCCCCCCCGGCCCCCAGCCCAGCCCCCGCGGGCCTGACCTTGCGGATCCGGCCGCTGCGCGTGCCAACGAACACCACGGTGCGGCCCCGGTAGTCGTAGGCGGCCACGGCGGTGAGGCCGTCGTCCTTGTCCACGAACAGGGGCGTCCCCTCGATGGTGACCGTGCCGCCCAGGGGCTGGTTGAAGTCCTGCCCGCAGAAATCGTCGTCGATCTGCAGGGGCTGATGGGGGCACAGGGTGAGAGCCGCTCTGGGGGGGGGGGCTCAACCCTTAGCGCGGGGCCTCCCAACCGGGCCTCCACCCACGAGGCCAGGACGCGGCCGCGGCCCCAGGAGCCGTCTGTATAGCGCCGGGATTGGGGACGCGCAGGTCCCTTTGACAGAGAAACCGAGGCTCCGAGGGGCTGCCCCAGACCCGGGTGGGCCCGTCCCTCCCGCAGCCCTGTCCCCCCTCGGGTGGGGACGGTGAGAAAGGCCGAGTTCTGTCGGAGGACAGGGACCGCCCGGGGGAGGGCAGGGAGGCCGGGGTGGCCCCCCCCCCCGGTCCCGGGGGAGGGCAGGGAGGCCGGGGTGGCCCCCCCGGGGGGGATGTGGAGACCCAGCCGGTTTACGGAGCAAGGGAGGGCGGGTCCCGGCCTCGGGGCGGCGGGCGGAGCTCGCGTGTAGGGCCTGGGTGAGGCCCTGCCCCTCCAAGCCTCGGTTTCTCCGTCTGTATTATGGGGAGAAAAACGTCATCCTTAGAAAGCCGGGGAAGGCGGGACAGCCTTAGAGCGCTCAGCCCGTGCCCCGCGGCGGACGAGGCGGACAGAGGCTCCCACGGTCGGGGGGCTGGGGGCTCCCCGTCCCGTCCTGCCCTGAGAACAACCCCGCGTCGCTCCCGGCTCAGAGATGGGACAACTGCAGCCCGAGAGGGAGGTCCTAGATCCGGCCGGCTCTTTGGCCGCGGACCCCAACCGAGGAGTGTCCCCCGGTCAAACGGCGGTTCCCGCCCCCGAACCTCAGCCGGCTCCAGCCCAGCCCCCGTCAGCGCCGAGAGGCGGGTGCTGGCGGGCCGTGGACTAAGCACCCAGCACTCAGCACCCGGCCCGGCTGCCTCCACCTCCGGGTGACAATCTGCAGAGAACCAGGGTGGTCTCGACCCCCTCCCTCCCCGCTGCCCGGGAGAGCAGAGCCCGGCGCGGCGGCGGCGGCGGCGGCCCCGGACGGTTGCCCAGGTCGCGCACTCACCGAGTTGATGCAGCCCAGCTCCTTGTTGAGCAGCCAGGGCAGCGAGAGCTTGCCCTCGCCGCGGTAGCAGGACCGGATGCGCTCCTTGATCTTCTCCTTGACGGCGCGCAGCGTGAACAGGCAGAGCGCCGACTCCTTGGGCGGCTTGGCGCGGTTCTTCTGGCCCTGCGCGAACACGGCGAACAGCACGTCCTCGTCCTCCGCCAGGCCCAGCTGGCGCGCCAGGGCGCGGCCGGGCCGGCTGAGGAAGGCGTCCTGCACCAGGCGGTACTCGACGCCCGCCTGCTGGCAGCCCACGGGGAACTCCACGTACGAGTAGAACTTGGGGTCGTCCACACACAGCCGCACGATCTTGGACGTGAAGAAGTGCTCGCCGGCCGCGTCGGGCGACGTGAGCTGCGTGTCCAGCTGCAGCGTCAGGTAGTAGACGAACTGCTCGCTGCGGAAGCTGTACACGTAGTAGATGTCGAAGGCGGGGAACTTGGACAGCGTGTCCGACGGGATCTTCAGCTGCGACGACACGAACTCGTCCTGGTACACGAAGCCGAACATGTCCGCGTCCTCCTCGTTGGCCATGAGCCGGCGGCTGGACAGCGTGGGGAAGTACTCGGACTTGCCGTCCACGGGAGTGCCCACGAACAGCTTGGCCTGGCCCTGGCCCGGCGGCCCGGCGATGAGCACGCCCGCCATGCTGCCGGCCTCGCGCACGCTCGACAGGTAGTGCTCCTTGCGGTGGTGTGGCTCGCCCAGCTTGAACAGGTCGTCCAGCCGCAGGAACTGGCAGATGCCCTGCGAGGCGCTGCCGCAGGCCAGCAGGCGGTTGGCGGCGTAGTCCAGCAGCAGGAGCTTGTTGACGTTGTCGGTGCTGCGCAGCCTGTGTGGGCACGACTGCACGCTCGGCGGCGGGTAGCACCTCTCGTTGTCCTCCAGCGGCCCCGTCACGTGGGCCCGCAGCAGGGTCAGGTTGCCCGACAGCTTGTAGACGCGGTTGACGGCGCCCACGTACACCTCGCCCGTGCGCTGGTGCACGACCAGGTGCGTGAGGGCCCAGTCGCCGGCCGCGAACGTGCGGAAGGGAGGCCGCGGGCCTCCGCCGGGCCCGGGAGAGGCTGTCGCCGCCGCCGCCGCCGCCGCCGCGGGCGAGAGCAGCAGCAGCAGCAGGAGGAGGAACAGCGCCCGCAGGCTGGCGGGTGGCACAGGCATGGCGGGCCGCGGCCCCGTGTCGCCGCCGCCGCCGCCGCCGCTGAGGCGCTCGGGTCCTGCAGGCGTGAGCATCACGGCATCACGGCGCCCGGAGGAGCCTCAGCCCTGGGGAAGAACGGGCGGGAGACGGGCGGGTGAGCGCGGGCCACGTCCCCAAGCCCGGGCACACGTATGTCCCGTCTCGTGGTCCCGCGAGCTCTCGGCCTGGACCGGGACAGGCCGACCCAGCCCCAGGTGGCACCATCTCCCCGGCCCGGCGCCTGCAGGCCGTGAGGGCTTCACCGGGTGTCACCGAGCCGTGGCCACCAGGAGTAGCACGGTGGCCGCACACGACGGGGACCAGGCCCGGGGGTCTAGGGCAGGCCCCCAGCGGACACCCCGACCCGGAGAGCATCATGGGACTAAGACCCGCCCCCCAGCTCCGGGTAGGTGACAACTTCCCCGTCCTGGGCTGCAGGGGACACCCCCCACCGTCACCGCCCCGCAGAAGCCGGGCACAGGGGGGCTCCGGGGCTCATTTCTGTCCCCGCTGTGCCCCCAAGAAGGCCAGAACCGGTCCAGGTTGCTCTCCCTGGGATCTGGGCCGCGGGCCCAGTGCGGGCACAAATGCATCGATTTCCCGGGGACTCGAGCCCCAGCAGGGGGGCTGGCCGGTGGCCGGGTCCCTGCAGGAGGTCGGGGTGCCAGCCCCTGCCCCGCCAGGACCAGCCGGGTGACCTGGGGTCCGTCTGAGCCCGGAGTCCTGTGTCCGGAAGGTGGGGAGGGGACCCACGCATCCTCGGTGGCCTTTGTCAGGTGACCCGGCCCCGGGCTTGGGGACCCCCACCTGGCCCGCAACCCCCCGGCCCCAACCCCGCCCCCCGGCAAAGCCCGAAGAACTCCCCCAAAGGAAAAGGGTGAGGGGTCCCCGAACCCTGCTCCTCTCCCCGACTCATGGTCACCGGATCGGCCCAGCCCCTCCCTCCGCGCTCTGGGCCCCGGGCGTCTCCCACCACGGTCACCCCACTTCCAGATCACCCCTGAACTCTGTCCCCAGACGTCCCCCACCCCGCCTGCCCCTCCTTCCCGGATCCCCAGGACACTCGGCCCCCCCGACCCCGTCTCCCGGCAGCCGGGACCGCTATTCCGGCCTGCACGTGAGGATGTGCCCGGATCCAGGCAGGGCACCCCAAACCCTGCCCTGACCCCCCCACGGCCTCTGGAAACGTCCCACCTGCCCCCCCAGCCC